TCCCTTTAATGTTTATTCCTGTCCGTCTCCTTCTGCTTTCCCGTTAGTGTTATCCTGTCTGTCTCCTTCTGCTGTCCCTTTACTGTTTAATTCCTGTCTGTCTCCTTCTGCTGTTCCCGTTAGTGTTTACTTCCTGTCTGTCTCCTTCTGCTGTTCCCTTTACTGTTTACTTCCTGTCTGTGTCCTTCTGCTGTTCCCGTTAGTGTTTACTTCCTGTTTGTCTTCTTCTGTGGATTTCTCCGAAGTGTAATGCTCTGTCTATTAACCTTTTTGCTCTCTTCTCTTGCTCTGTTTTTCTTTTCTTTACTGGGGCCATCATCAATCTAAAGTTTCGTGCTCCCAACAAATAAAAAAGTGCATTTTTTGTTTGTTGTCCACAGCTGACGTTAAATCGACTGGACTTTCTGCAGATTGATATGACTGCAAATAGTCCCTTGATCGTCCTTAGCAGCGGTCTGTTAGCGAGAATTAACAACGTGACGGAATGTCCAAATTGACCAATCAGAATGGAGTAATCAACTTTGCTGAGTAGGCTAATAGAAGATGTCACGTACTTTGCTTCAGACTAATTCAACCCCTACAGAGAGGGTCATGTACCGTCAGCCCTCAGTTTCAGATTAAAACAGCTTAATTAGAGATGTCGTACACATTTAGAAGTTTCTATCTTGTTTTAATCATCCAATGATTTTAATGGTTAAAAATGACTGACTCAAATGACAAGCCAAGTTATTAAACATCATGTGCTTTGTATAAAAACAACTACAAATCAGCACACATTTTAAATTTCAGACAATATTGAGTAGCGTACCCTTTTCTGACTGCAGCCCACAATGAGGAAGGTTTCTATGTTGTTCTTCTTCAGGTAGGCGTTCCTGTCTCCCCCTGATCCTTCCTCCACATCGTAGTCTCCATTCAGATAATTCAAAGTGGACTTGGTGATATGGATTCGTCTGAAAAAAAAGACACATAAACACCTCTGTAAATGTACATTTCTTCACAGGTTTCCACAGGTTTGTAGTCCTTTTAAAGTTGCACACTCATACCCAGCTTGGCCCCCGGCCTCCATGTGATTGGCTAACGTGACGTCATTGGACCAGACGTCAAACTGCCACTTCCTGAGTCCCAGCACCCCACAATGCACCCTGCCGCTGTGGATGCCCACTCGCATGTTCACGTTCACCCCGGTGACCTCACGTACCAGCCTGAGGAAACACATCAGAGACAATGGATGAATGAATAACGTCAGCAGTAGTGGTTAGTGGAGCTCCTCCAACAATGCAACATATCGAATCAAATACAAAAATACTAAGAAGTCTATATAATGGAGCAGATTCGAGACAAGATTTTCCATTACTACATGTATGGAGAAGCAGCGTTCAGTTATTATGCTCCGAACATCCGGAACAAACTCCCAGAAACCTGCGGGTCCGCTGCAACTCTGACTACTTTTAAATCCAGGCTGAAGACTTTTCTATTTGCCGCTGCTTTCAATTGAACTATTCACATCTCACGCTGCACTGTAACTTTGTACCTTTGTTATTCATAATATATATATATATATAATATGTTTCTTAATGCTCGTAATGTCTTTCATTTTTGTAAAGCACTTGCTGTATAAATAAACTTGCCCACCATTTGACCTAATTAGGCGTTTTAATTGCAGTGCCCCTTTAACCCCGGGTAACTTACGAGATGGCCTCGATCATGTCCATCCCCATCTCCACGCAGCAGCTGGCGTGGTCGGCTCGCGCCTCTGGGAGCCCGGAGACGCAGTAATAACAATCGCCCAGGATCTTTATCCGCAGACAGTGGTTCTCCTGAGGGGAGAGAGAGGACCACAGGTGATGAGAACAACCACTTATCATGCACTAATGTTCATTTCCCAAAGATATTGAAGTGATATTGAAGTGACTGTTATTTTCTATATATTGATTGTTGTGCTTTTATTTATGTCTCAATGTGTGTGCATATGTATAAATAGGTATTTACATATTTGTATACATACGTTTATATATATTTATATTTTTGTATTCGGGATTGTGGGAAACTGTATTTCGATCTCTCCGTCTGTACACACAAACTGGAAGATTGACTTGGCTTATTCACTACAGGGGAGGTTTACACAATTACTTTATATTGAATATATTACACATCATTCATCCATCCTGTAATACTTGCTGTTGTAGGAGGAGGCGGAGAGACAAATGTATTTTTTTATATTACATTTATTTTTATTTTTTTCTAACTTGATAAGCACTCTGAATAAAATGTATTATTATTGTTAGTATTAGCAGTATTATTATAATTTAACTGAGAGATGTGGCTTGATTGATACTACATTACAACTATAGCTAAATATATGGCTTTTATTTTAATATTTTTCTCAATGACTACAATTGTTTCGTTATTATTATTATTATTATGTTTTTTATTTTATTTGGGATGGTTTTAGGAGGGATATACAGAATATAATATAACGCTATTTGATATATCTCTTTTTGTACTTTTCAGATAAACAAATAAGGGACGGAAATTCAACAAATACATAATTAAAGACAATTAAATAACTGCATGTGGGGTTAATCATGATTACATATTTGCACCTAACAATAAAACACAAATACATGGAAAGCAGAATTTCTACAAGAGTTGCATCTCAGCATTGATTTCACAAATTAGCCTTAGAGCTTAAAGACCTCACAGCGGCGTCGGCGTGTGTGTGTGTGTGTGTGTGTGTGTGTGTGTGTGTGTGTGTGTGTGTGTGTGTGTGTGTGTGTGTGTGTGTGTGTGTGTGTGTGTGTGTGTGTGTGTGTGTGTGTGTGTGTCGTGTGTGT